AGGAAAAGACATCACGTGTGAGTCTCCTTTATCGTGTCTATTCTTTCCACAGCATCCATCTACTGAAGTATGTATATATGTGCAGTAGTAGAAGCTTCCACTGATACAACTAAAAAATATCACCTGAATTCACATTGGTAAAAACAGGAAGCATCTGTGTCCAGAGTACTCATAATAATCATCCTAGATTTATCAAGTGTGATCCATCTTGAGAGTGCTGAATCCTTTTTTGTGAAATCGGGGTTGAGGACAGAAGAGACAGGAGGAGGAGACGATGTTGGGATTTTAAGGAGGAGGGTGAGCAGAAGGTGAAGGCTCCTCTTTTGAGATGCAGTCCATCACTGAATACATCCTGCAGACCTCTCAGTATCCCCCCTCCCCACCACCACCACCACATCTGCACCTGGCTGCACTGGCCTTTGCTCCACATCCTCTTTCTCTTCCTCCACCACGACTGATACCTACCGATGGCATACACTAGCCTGCTCTTTATTAATGACGTTAAGCCTCTTTTTTTTTGTCCCCCACCCCACTTTACCCCACTCTCCTCGCTGTGAAGAGAGAAGATGGGACTCTGGAGGGATAAAATCATTGTTAGAGAAAGACACCAAAAAATATCAGTCATCCCCCCTTACCTTGCTGTCCAGTGAAGAGGAGAGCCTCTCTCCTCCAGGAAGGTTTGGAAGCGAGTGTGCACATACACTCACATCCACTATTATGCGCCGCTCACTCACGTTCACACACACATTTACGCTCGCACACAGACCTACACGCTCTCAAGCTCATGCACACAACGGCGAGGAGGGATGGCTCTCAAGCGAGAGCACACTGCAGGCTGCCGCTTGCCTGGGAAAGCCTGATGCGTTCCTCCCTCCGGGCAGAAACACACACTGCCATCTCAAAGGCTCTTTGTTGGGGCCGATTCATCCCCAGTTCTGTGGCTGAGTGCTGATTCGTGTACCGGTGCCTGCTCCCGGGGACGAGGGGGTGTCCGTACAATAGATAGACAAAGCCATGAAAAAGAAAAGCAGCATCCAGGAGGAGAGGAATATCACAGCACCATGTAGCTCCTTCCATCCACCCCCCTTTTCTCTCCTTCTCCTTCTCAGGCTCGCTGTCTTTCTCCTACAGACACACACACTCCCTCCCACCTCCCTTTCTCTCTTACTCTCTTCCTCCTCCTCTCTCTGCCTCTCTCTTTATCACTTCCCTCCTTCTCTGCCTCCTCCCACTCCCTCACTGGGCTGCAAAAGAACTGATAGCAGCATGTGCCTGCGCCCGTGTGCCGGTTTCCAGTGACTGTAAGGAGAGGAGAGCTCTTCAACACCTCATCACCTGGGATACCTTTCATCCCCCACCCTCTCCTCTCCCCTCCCCACCCACCATCTCTCTGCCTCTCTGTCTCCTTTGCACGTAATGTGGGTGACACGAGAACGCGAGGGTGCTGACTTCACCCGGTGCACTGCTGTTCACTCAAATGTATTATCCATGAAATGACATGGTCAGGGAGATGGCAGATGGCAGAGGAGGGGTTGCTGTACCGATGCTTGTAAAAAGGGGTGTGGGACTATCCTTGTAGAGGGGCTAGATCCTCATCCTCACACTGTCTTTTGAGTCTATCGTGACCCAGAAAAAACCCCAAAATCATTGCAAGTGAGGGGACACTGAAACTGAAGTTACAGCCACACTCCTGCCTCTGATCCGGCATCATTATTTGAGCGAAACATTTCCCCTCTCCTTTTACCACAATCATTTCCTGAATAATTTATACAGAAGCTAAGACCAGGCACGAAGAAGGAAAATGTATTAGGGTCAAGTCATGCAGAAACTGCCTGCAAGAGTGAGCCACATTTAGGGCATATGTGTAATACATGGCATTTTGATATGAAAGGCACTACGACAGGCTTAAATAATGGCACCCCCTCCCCCAGCACACACATCAAATAAAGTGAGGTGAAAAACGACTCCACTAAACCAATCTGCATAACAGTGGCAGATTTTCCTGTTAGGGGTATGGCAGACACAACCCCTCCCTCTCTTTCACTCTCACTTGTCAGCATTAATGTCACAGATATTGACTGGTGGTGGTTTGTTGTCTTATAGTCATGATTTCCTTTGAGTTTATGAAACAATAAAAGATGCACAAATATGGTGATCACAAAAACTACTCCAATTTTTACCAGGGTTATCTCAGCTGAGGTTGCTTATTTATCCTTATCTCTGCTTGCCCAGTATGAAGGAAAGCTGCACAGGTCAAAAGGTCAATAAATGAAACATGTCTTCTTGTTTCCGCGAGAATGCACAGAACCACACAATTTTGCTTCAGTGGTTTAGCACAAACGTAAAAAGAAAGCTACTGCTGCACTTTTAGGTAGTTATTATTTTTCTACTTATTTAATTATCATTTTCTTTTTTTATATATGTATGTATGGAATCTTTTAGTGCATATTGTATTGCAATAAAAGGAGAGACTAGGAGATGTTATAAAATAAATTATTTTTACATGTCATCCTCACTCCTCACCCAGCACTCCTCTCGGATAAATAGCGTAAAAGTAGCTTGTGATGTAAAACAGATTTCACAATGACAATACTGGTCTTAAACCACAGCGTCATTAAAGTGAAAGCCCCAGAGCTGCATAAGTAAGACAACTTTAACTCCTTGCATTTCAATTCATTCTATTGTTTAGCATGAATATGTAGGAATTACACAGCAGGCTACCGGGGCTCAGAGTACTAAGCTAAAGCAAATGTAATTTTTCATTTAGAAAAAAATATCCACTGACTTTTTCAGATGACCTAGAAATCCATTTTTAAATCTGTATGATTAAGACAGGCACTGCAGAAATCTAGACAAAGCCCGTGGCATTAACCTGCCAGCTAATGAGCAGTTAGGTAACCAAACAAATGTGCATGGTATAGTAAGTCACAGTTCTGACTTACTAAGTGGAAACAGTGAGATAAGTCAAACATGATCAGAGAAAAACCTAAAAAAAAATACCACTAACTCATGATTATAAGATAATAAGCTGTCATTTTCATGGGTGTAATTACATGTAATTACATAACATTAAGCCAAATTTGAGATATATAAGTATATATCAAGCAGTGGCCTCGGGAGAACTGATAGGATCGAAGCGAAAGTGGTAAAAATACTGAGTCATCGGTTAGTATATTAACACGCTGGGGTTGCTGTCTGAATTACATAACCATGAGTCAAAATTACAGAATGAAATCATTGTAGATCTAAATCAGGAAATAATCTTCATAGTTTAAGTCATGAGCTATAGTTTCCTTTTCTGAAAGCGTATGAAATTCCACAACCAGAATGATTGGAGGGGGGAAAAGGGGCTGATGATTTTGGTGCTGCATGTTTGCAAGCTGTTGTGTCTGTGTGCAAGCCTGATGGAAGTTCACCTCAGTCCTTCTCACTGGGCAAAACCTCTACTAGTGACTTAAAGTGAGCCTAGGTAATGGACAGAAAGCTTTCTGGTAACTGGTGCATGCAAACACAAACCAAAGGCTACAAATAGGTAAAGACTACATGGCACTTGAGTGTTCTTGTCCATCGCAGTAAGAGGACAAAAGCTTTTCTTCTCCGAGGGCCTGCCTACAGAGCATTACGGTAGATGGCCTCCTCGTACCAGCTCTCCAGTGCAGTGCAGAGAGCTATGGATTTTCTGTCGGGAGTCGCTGGCTGGGACGAGCTTTTAATAAGTCATGCCAACCGGCGAGCCATAGAGGATGCATTATGGTGCAGTTATGCCGTTATTATGATGGGAGCGCATCATGTTGCCCATCACTTATCGCTGAATTTCAGCTGCTCCCAGCGCTGAGCCACAATTTAAAGTAGACAGTATGGGAACTCACCACTAGAGAGGATCTTGGCCGGCAGTGTCATATTTCCAGTGTGAAGTGTGCTCCTCCAGTGATCCACTTGCATGTAAAACTAACACTGCTTTGAGCCACGGTTCATCAGGCTTCCTGGGGATAACCACAGCCTGATCTGCTCACAGCTGCAAGTGGTTGATTTCACTTGCTAATGAGCCAGCTACCTATCTTGCAGCCATTCATCAAAGTCTGCCCAGCAAGTTGACTGTGTAAAGTGGACCCTGTCATCACAGTAGATTAAACGTTTAAGCATACTTTCAATGCTTTTTGGGATTGGGGTAAACACTTCCTGAATAATGTCATTAGACATTTCCAAGGAATTTTCATCTGATGCCCCCACCAGCATCAGATTACAGTCAGCACTAAACTGTTCTCGTGTCCTGTTAGTAATTAAGCAAACACCATTACCTGGAGTGCAATCTATGCTTCCCCTTGCATGCCCCCTGCTGACAGTGCATTACTGCAACCCCCTTTGGTTTCTAAAAGAGAAATTAACAACTACCAGTAATTGGTTTGGTTATTGTAGCAAGTTTATTGGACATCAATGTTACATGGCCTGAAAGATGCATGTACTCAGACTGAGGCATGAAGCCCAGCTGAAGTGTCTCACTGAAACCCGTTTGTGACTGTGTTGGATTAGAGTAGAAAAATCTGCTCAAGAAATACTGAGCAAGACAAAAACAAAAACAGCACGCATAAAAAAAAACACTGCTTAAGAACACTGGACGCAATCGGGAGTGAAAAGGAACGAATTTGAGTAGTACACAGCAAAATCTCCAGTGTTAAATTAACACTGGAGAGTGTCTATATGGGTCCACACCTCTGAGTGTTAAATACAACACTGTTGAGTGTTAAATTAACACTTTTGACAGTGTTATATGTTTAAAAGTAACCTAATTCATTTTGAAGATTAACAAAGACTAACACTGAGCAGTGCTGATTTTCTAACACTGGAATATTTCTAACATTTTGAGTTATTTTCCAGTGTTAGAAAATCAGCACTGCTCAGTGTTAGTCTTTGTTAATCTTCAAAATGAATTAGGTTACTTTTAAGCATATAACACTGTCAAAAGTGTTAATTTAACACTCAACAGTGTTGTATTTAACACTCAGAGGTGTGGACCCATATAGACACTATCAACATGTATTTACATCTATGTTTTTTCTCACGCTAGTAGCATTTTTACTAGATTACATTACAGTGTACAGGGGTTCCCATTATTTGGTCCAACCACTGTATTTGCATGAATCCAATACACCTTTTAGTGTCTTCAGCTCCCAGGGTATCCCCCTCAAAAAGCTTTTTTGTTTGTTTATAAAGCCTTCTGAGTAACTGGAAATCTATGACGATATTTACATCTGGGTGATGAACAGTCACTACATGATCTAGTCAAAAATGGTAAAAACTCAGAAAAGGAACTAAATCCCATTTGGAAGCATCAGTTTGCAGCACCAGCTGCAGCTTCATCCTTCTGCCCTTCCTCTGATTCTTGCGCCGTCTTTTTGAAGAACCGTTCAGCTCGTAGCTCCTCAAAGCAGAACTCAGCAGCACCATTTAGCAGCAGCTCTTTACAGTACATGCTCTGCTCCTGTTGTTTTCCCGATTCTGCCTCCTTCTGCTGCTGCTGATGGTCCTGCAGCCTTTTGAGAGGAGTCTCATCTCTGCCCGGCTTACGCGCTGACAAAACTGTGTTAACTGCTGGGTTGATCTTACATGGAGTCCTGAGGGAGGGACAGAACAATCCACTTACATTCAGCTTAGGAAGACACTAATCAACATGTGATGTGAATATAATATTTAGCAGATAAAGCAATGACATAAAATGTCAGATAAAAACTGGACCTTTTTCTGAGATATGCTACTAAAAATGTGAAGAATACTGGAAATACTTTTCCCCTCAACTGCAAGTATGGTAGTCTATTCATGTCTGTAGGTGCAATCAGCCTCCAGAAAACTGCACCCAGACTGAACAAGCTAATGATTTGATAACTGAGATGACGGAGGATTTTTTTAAAAATTCATTTATTTGGGCTTTTCAATTAAATGTGCGTATACAGCCACAGATCTTGGTACTCAGGCATTTCTGTTGAACCTTTAATGCTCCTGCCTGTTGTCTCTTTGTCTGTTCCCCCCTGGTCAAAATAATGAGTAAAATTAAAAATGAATGAATAAAAAAATGAAGGTTTTTATAGTAACTCACATTGTAGGAGGCTGATCCGACTCCTCCACAAACGGTTGGAAAGTGAGTTTGGGAGGCGGTGGCGCCATAACAGTATGTCCAAATTTGGACTTTTGGGGCATCTATGACGACATAAAAAGAAAGTTATGAATCAACTTTGCATAATGGCTTTCAACACACACAACAATGAGCCTGTTCTCCCATACCTTCACATCACACCATCGCTCAGGCTTCTGCTCATTCTCCTTCGCCCTAGATGTGGGAGGAGCCACCCAAGCTTCCAATCTAGGCTCCGATGGGCCTGCGCTCTGAGCCTTATTCTCGTCAAAGATGACCAACCGACTGTTACTGCCAAGAACAGGGGCGCCTTGTGACTTCAGGCCACCGGGAATACCTGAATACAAACTCATTATGTTTTTCCCAGTCTTAAAGTACTGTTATCATCAATTTAGTATTTTGAAACACATTTTATTTGTATATTCATGTGCTTACTTCTGATTCCGGCCCCTGTTCTGTTGATGGGGGCGACAGCCTTTTTCTTCCCTCTGTGTTTCAGATCAGCTAGAGAAACTCTCTCGAGTTGCTTAGGCTCATCATCACTGTCTTCCTCCTCCACATTCATCATCACCTGCCGGGAAACGCGTGCCTGCAGTGCCCTGCGAATATAAATACAGAAAAATGTGATCACTGTAACAACATAACAGAGATGTTCACTTATCAGAAACTATACTGGATGCCTCCATACTTGTGAAACTGCAGGAGTTTATCATGTGGGTCAGCACTCTTTCTGAACCCCTCTTGGTAGACCAAGTCTGCTTTGCGGAAATTGCCCTGATCCTCATACTCCTCTGACCAAGCAATGTAGAGGGAAGCTTGTGTTACTCCAATTCCCTGTGCTTGCATGTATCTGTAAATTTCCAAAGGCTCTTGGCAGTTCTTCGCCTGGTGACATGTAATGAAAAGTTATAAATGCAGCATTAGTTTGTCAAAGTAACAGAAATAGTCAGAGGTTATGCTTTTGCACTCACAAATTTGATCCAGAGGTCAACATAGCGGGGGTCATTGTGATAATGTTTCTCCTCTGTAAATCTGGTCACGACCCGTTCCAGCAGTGTGGTGAGGTTGCTCTCTTTTCCACCCTGGGGGAAGGTTTGTTCTGTCCACTTAATATACCTGGAAAAATAAAACCGTGTTAGGATTACAGGGAAATTTAAGAGCAATGTTTATGAGCACACTTGGCTATTGACATATTTCCCTTACCGATCCCAAACACTAAGTGGATCATCGCCCTCGTATGTGCGCAACTCGGACTCAAATGCCCTGCAGAAATAAATATACACAAGGTCTTTTTTCATCATATAAAAAAATGCATGGACAAAATGTACAACAGAAATCTCTGTCACCTAATTTAAGTTTAAAATAGCTATCCATACTGTCGCTGCTGGTTGATTGCAGAGGTGGGTCCATCTTGTTGTTGACTCAGCGCCTGATGTAAGGCCGATATGGCTCTTCCCCGCCTCAAAGGCTGGATGTTTTCTTTGCTGAGCTCCCATTCCACATCTCCTCCTTCTGCCATTTCTGAGACAGAAACTAGATACATACAGCAGGAGAATTAATTACTTGATATTTATCCCCGGCTGAATTTGTAATTAAAAATTAACCAGAACCCCAGAAAAAAAAAAAGCTGCATGACAGTTTTAAATGGATTTGTTATTTGTTATTGAGTGAAATAAGTACTTGATCCCCTACAAACAGCCAGAAATCTGGCTCCCACTGATTGGCAAATTAAAAAAAAAAATCAATCAATTACAGATACCCTTATCTCAACTTGTTATGTGTATAAAGCACACGTGCCCACAGAATCAGTCCTGGATCAAAACCATTATTTCGCCCTCTGTATACACATTTAATTCAGTTGCTTGGAGTTTTTAAGTTGTCCTATTTTTACATTTCTGATCTGTAATCTAACTTCAATAAGAAATCACCTTATAGGCAAATCAATAGAACAATAAAAATTAAACGTAACCCTTTAATGCCTCATATTTGACACAAGAATTTTTGAGACTACTACATCATCAGTGTGTCCCCCCCACAAACAAACAAAACGGCCCAGAGATGTGAAATTTATATTCTAGATTGTTGGTCAGAAAGACACCATACTGTCACAAAATGAATAACGGAATCATTTTGAAGTTGTATAATGGTTTTAAAGGAAGATTTTCTGAGGTGACCTTCATAGTTTTATCTATGCTTTAAAAATTTACCACAATCCTGTTGTTTCTCATTTTTACCCAAGTTTGACTGGATAAGTCTTGACTCAGATCATAACTTGAGGGCTGTGCTGGGTGTGCCACTACATCATCCTTTTTATAACTCAAAAATGTTGCTAGAATGCAACCTTTTATCTTGGTGACCCTGACAAACCAATTCTATATACATAGCAGGCAGGACTACTTTAAGGCTCTGCTATCTAATCTACCTAAAATCTACTTGAGTTGATTCAGATCTCTGCTGCCAGACTTCTTACTACGACCAAAAGGAGAGAGTACATCACACCTGTTGACTTTAAAATCCTTTTATTTAAATCCTCTAGCTGTTGCAAAATGCAAGACAAAACCTCTGGGGAGGTAGCTTTTTCAGTGTTATGCTTCAAGCTGCTGGAACAGCCTGCCAGAGGACCTGGCTGTGTTGAAATCTTTAAACTTAACAGCCCCCTCCAAAGCCTGAGTGTGACTGAATATTCTTTACAGACAGCACTTGTTTTAATTTCATATAACTTCTTTGCTTTAAGTAATATGTAGTTTCATTCAGTTTTTATTTTATTTTTCACTGGTCAAGTCTGTTACTTTTTATTTCATTTGATGCACTTTTGTTGTAGTTGTATTTAATTTTAAATAACTTTTTTGATGTTCTGACTTTGTTATACACTAACGTGAAATGTGATATACACAAAGCTTATTATTATCTCTGTATAGCCAAAAGTAATCTATTACTGTACTGACACTGTCATTATAATTGTTTATTTCGGGCTTAATTAGTTCTTTTGTGTGAGAACTAAATAGCATGATGTCCAGGAGGCATACTGAACAAGTTTCAGGACAACATGAACTAACGATGCACTTCAACAACAACACATTTTAAATAATTATGTGGTAAACTTCCATCGTATTACAAACCGTGTGACACGTACACAAAATAATGTTTAGCTATCAACACTCTCCCTGCGTTCCTGTTAACGTTAGGAAGTGCATGTGTTTGGAGCTAACACACTAGCTAGCGAACGATAGCTTTAGTCTGACCAACTTTAGCGTTTTTTCCATCGACGACAAATTTACATAACTGAATTAAAATAGACTTTCTGCAAAATGTGCGTGTTCTATACCGCTTCCGAGCCTCCTTTATTTCTTTTCTAGGTGACAGCTCGAACTCCAACGTTGTCGCAGTAAAGCTGTTGAACGGTTGTGTCTGTATTTTGAACAAGAGCCGCCAGAGATTTAGCAGGACTCTGATTGGACGGAAAACCGGAAAATGCGTTTACATTACGTCATACCTCCTCTTCCGCGTTGCTTCCTGTTTTGAATGAACACCTGAAAATAGTTGCTAGTAGCTAGCTGCCAAATTAATGCTCACGACTGAGTGTGTTTTCTTAGACATTTTAACGCACTGTAGCTGTATCGATAGCATTAACATCCCCCTACCCATGAGCCTCTGCATGTGTCGATATGGACAGTCGATGTTATTGTTGTGCATCCAAGTTTAGCCTCTTCAAGAAGGAGGTGAGTATTTCACGGCTAATGCTAACCACATAGACATACATAGAGGTACATTTTGAATAAAGTGATCTATTTACTGTTCGTCATAGCTGGGCTGTAAGAACTGCGGCCGTTCCTTCTGCTCCAGCTGCTTGACTTTCAGTGCTGTGGTGCCTCGCTGTGGCAACACCCAGCAGAAGGTCTGTAAACAGTGCCATGGTAATCTGACCAGGTAACGCTCAAACCCTGCAAGGAAGAAAAAAAACCCCCTAAAAGTAGTTTTGTTTGGACTTTGGAGCTTCTCTCTCATTTTAATTTCTTTCTTTTTAGTGGGCCATCTTCAACCAGTGCTGGCAGATGGTCTCCTCCAGAAAACTATAAAAAGTCAGTGTATACGATCAAATAAGGGAATAACTTAAACTTTGGCAGCACAGCGGTTTCATAACATCTAAAGTACACGTGTCTTCCATTAGACGGGTCGCTGCACTTGAGGCCAAACAGCAAGGACAGCCAACACAGCCTGTGAGGACCAGCAAAGCAGGACATCCACCAACCAGCGGCCTGAGCAAAGAAGATCAGGCAATTGCTGAAAGGCTTCAAAAGCTCAAGGAGGACACAGCACCTAGTAATAAGATTTTTAGCAGCTCTCATTTTTATTTAATCCAGCAAGTGCAGTAATATTATAATATTTTCCAAAACAAGGTAAGGAGTAAGCTTTTTGCCTTCTCTTCAGGGTCTGTCCCCTCTGACAAAGAGCTCGAGTCCCGACTTGCTGCTCTGAAAGCTCCCAGCAAGCCAGTACCTTCTGCACAGGAGATGGAGGACCGTCTGGCCACTCTGCGGGGTCTCCCTCCACCATCTCAAGCTCCTCGACCTGTGAGCTGAATCTCTTCCTGCTTGTTTGTAACATCTTAGGCCTTACAGTACAGCTCAGTAGCTCAATAGCTTCAAATATTTATTTAGAGGGAACTCAATACTAAACAGTGTCCCTTAACTCCAAGTATATATGCTTGTCTATTCATGTCTGTAGGTGCATCAGCCTCCAGAAAACCGGACCCAGACTGAACAAGCCAATGATTTGATAAGTCAGATGACAGACGAAGTTGCAATTGACAACCAACAATCAAATCCTGAATGCAGTAAGATATTGCATTTCTCCCTGATTTTACCTGCCTTAAACCAATAAGTAATGAGTCAGTCATAACATTCATTCTTATATCGTAAAATTAATAAACAGGTACTGAACAACACTGTTATTAAATCTGAAGGTGTAGATGGCCGCATGAATGATCTCAATAAAGGTGAGGCAGGTACATTGGATGAGAATTTGGAAGAGAACCAGGATGCAGCCAAGCAGCTGGAGGCTGAGAAGGCCCATCTGCTCGAGGAAGCTATGGAGGAGCTGAGGAAAGAAAGTCACTCTCAAGATCAGATCCTGCACATGGCAAAGAGGCTGGCACAGCTGAAGGGGCAGGACCCGGACAAAGGTGAGTTATTCGAGCACCATTCACCTCACCTTATCTGTTATCCACGCACTAGTGTGTCATAAAATATGATAAGGACGTGCGTTGTAAATGCAGTTTCCATGACAGAAGTCCTAGCATGCTAGTGTATCATGCCCCATTTTCATTGTGATTCATTTATAGTTACTATGGAGGACTTCCAGCAACCTGACAGTGAAGAGGAGACTGAAGAAGAAGCTGTTATGAGAGTGTTAAAACAGGTGTGGCAAAAATAACCACGAGATGATAATGAACTATAAATAATTTGTTTCTGCGTACATCTTACACCCCTAAAGGTGCAAGTGAACTAATTCAGACCAGTGTGCCTAGCCACAAGGGGCTGCTATTTTGCCAGTTTAATCACTTCTTATTTTTTCTTGTATGCTTTCAGCTCTCAGAAGAAGCTACACTAGATGAAGCCAGTGGCTACAACATACCTTTAGAACAGAGTGGGCCAAGGAATAGGGAAAATAAAAAATCGTCCAAGAAACCGGTACAAAACCACGCTTGAATTATTTCTTTATTTTAAAGCTACGTGAGTGCATAAAATTTAAATCCCGATCTGATTTTATTTTAAAGGCTCCGCCTCCGGCACCTAAGAGCAGGAACCTACCTGCTGCCGATGCACATCAGCCGTCAGACAGTGACGAAGAAGAGCTTCCGTGGTGCTGCATCTGTAACCAAGATGCCAGCCTTCGATGTCACACCTGTGATGGAGATCTGTACTGCAACCGCTGCTTCAGGTAGTATGAAATGCATTAATTATAGAAAGAAAGAAAAAAAGCCTAACTTTAGACTCATGATAGACTTTTGCATGGAAGCCTTGACTGCACACAAAAAAACAAGATCTCTGTGATTTGGAATGCATACCATGACCCAGATAAATTGCAGGCAAGCTGCTGCCCTACTGTTAAGCAGCATGAATATAAAGTATTTAGTCTGATGAATTATCAATCCATGCTTCATTATGTCCCCAGGGAAGGCCATGATAAATATGATAGGAAGGAGCATCGCACCACTAACTACACTGCGCCAAAGAAGAAGAGGGAGACATGATAGTGAAGCTAAGCTGCAGGTGATTGGTAGAGTTAGGCCAGCCATCACACTTAGACTTGTTCATTAGCCTTAAGTGACTTACTATTGTTAGAAAACAGTCTCTCTAATCATCTAAAACAAGCCACAAACCATCAGAACTCCTCAACATATTTTATTCAGTAAATGCTAAGGCTGAACTAATTGAATGAAGCATAATAAGAAACCACTGGTAATGTTTCTTGCAAAGCACGGGTTAGATAAGGACCATAAACACAATGTAAATGCATTATAATATGTATAATATCTTAAATATAGTTTATTTTTTGTGGAATGTATAAAAATAGACGTATGTAATATTTGTGAAGGTATTGCAGCAAACCTGCACGGCCGCTTCACATAGGAATCCCAAAAATTCATATGGTTGATCTGAATAAGAAGTATTGGGTTTATTTTTATTGTGACTTGTCCTACTTCCTAATGGCAACAAAGGCTTATTTAAAGTGCTCTTTTGCACTTGTCATCATATGATGATTTCCAAGTTTTTATAACCCATACAGAAAGCAGACACGTCGTGAGCTCATCTGGGATGATGTACAATCCCAGACTGCTGTCAGCTCTGCACCGAAGAAGCACAGAGGAGTCAGTATAAAAGGATTACTAAGGGCTTTGTTTTCTTTTGGCAGTCACTGCAGTCGCTCTTGTAATCTGTGTTCGGCTGGGTGTGTAATTTCGTTATAAATAAAGGATAAGTGTTAGCAACTATGTCACGTCGTTGAGAGCATGCAGCATACCTTAGTCTTAATTTAAACATTAAAGCCTTATTTTTTTTCCTTTTTAGATCCAACGTATTATTACTTGATAAAAATATCTCAGTCTGTCAGGCCTTGTAAGGAGTGCAGTTCTTATAGTATACATGCCTTTGTCAGAGAAGTTGAGGAGAACCATATAAATTTCTATAGTGGAGACCTCACCCGAAAGACCCTCTGTGTTTGACAGAGAGAAGGCCAGAGTGCAGGCTCATCAGCGTGCATTACTGTCTGGCTGAGGAGAAACCATAATTACACTCTTCTCTTGGGGTTTGCTCCATTAAGGTTCATATGGAAAGTGTTACTGTGCCTTTTCTGGCCGTGTCATACACATACCCCAGACGGGAAATGGACGAGGATAATGGATGCATACTTAATGGAACATCTTGTTGCTGATCTCCGTGTGTTTACACCTACTCTTGACATGTCAAAGTTTCCTTTGTTTCCATCAATCTGTTGAAAATGCCTGAAAACACTACTTTATGTTTTGGGAATAAAATGCTGACTGCCGTTCTGTAGGAAAGTTGTCTGTAGACTGTAGGGCAAAATCATTATCTGTGTTTCTGAGCAGTTATGAGCTCAGGGTAGTTTAACTGGTACTGTAAACCAATTAGTGTAATGTACACGCCACTATTTATTTGAATGAGTGGAAATGATAATACCTGATGAAGCATATTGATGTATCACTTTGTTAAAAATCAGATGTGAGCATTGTCTTGAAAATGTTGAAATGTTTTTATTTTCTTTTTTTACATTTTGACAACACTGTTATCTGAACAAAAATATTTATGTACATAAATAAGCAACTAAAAATGTACAGTCATACACAAGAAACAGTCCGTCTGAGTAATAGTCAGTACAGCTTGTATCACGTGTACGTTATTGGTATGGTATTGGGAAACAAAATGTTGAAGCAGTCTATAAATGAATTTGAAATAACATTAAAAAAAAATCAATTCAAAGCCCCACAGCTCTGGTGTTACATTGATGATGACCCAGCAGGAGGAGGCAGGGGGCAGGAATATAGTCCCTCTGATCCACACCTACAGGCATCCAAATGGTTAATGCGTGGGGGGACGGGAAGATGAGCGGCTCCACATTGTCTCCATTCTTAATTTGACCTACAATTATTTCTTCAGTGGACCTGACATTTTACGTAGACCCTTTATCCTGTAGAGCAGCCCGTTGATAAAATCCTGTGGAGAAGATGGGGAAATTTTATTTAATTTTTTATGTAACTTTAAAACAATAAGTAGACTTATTATTTCAGTCCTCTTTTCTAAGTTTTTGTCTCACCTCTTTTGGCTTCCCGCATTCTTGCAACAACTCCTAGTGAACAAACAGAAAGAGGTATACACTTCTCCATTGTTTTTTCTTTGAATACATTGCACAACAGGATTTCATTATGAGTCAGTTTCTTCTTTAGGACAACCAAATACAAATATGTACATTAGTGCTGACAGCGAGGGGCTTCACTGCCGTGCTGCCCTCACATGGGGCGATCCGGAGATTTGCCGCGTTAATGCTGTTATGGCGCTAACGTCATTTTAACGAGATTAACGCTGACAGCACTAATATACATATGTAATTTAGGGGAACTAGTTGCAGATACACTCAACAATAATAAATGACTGACAAGTCATTAACAAGCAATTGGGATGTTTAATCAGATCAGTATTTAGGCTATTCTACAGAATCCTACCTCCAGCCGGGTTCTTTGCCCCTCATCCGACAGCTCCAGGAGCTCGTCTATGTCGATTTCTAACTCTGGGATCTCTTCTTCCTGTGAGAGTGGAGAGGAATAAAAGTTAAAGACCATATTCATTGAGACTTGTGTTTCTGCATGCCTCACAAACTCCTACAAATTGGATTGTATAATGTGGGCTTCTTGGCTTTTTATCCCTCCTCATCTTTCCAGCCAACTAAGCGTAGTCATTCAGACAGAAGACTAAGGCTTACGTTTTCAGTTCAATTCCATTTTAGTTATATAGCACCAAATAACAACGAAAATCGCATCAAGGCACTTTAGAGAGAAAACCAATCAGATATTCCAACCCGACGAGCAAGCACTTGGTGAGAGTGGGAATGAAAAACTCCCTTTTTACAGGAAGAGACCTCTGGCAGAACCAGGCTCAGGGATGGGCAGCCATCTGACGACTGGTTGGGGGTGAGGGGAGGAACATGGGACAAATTTATTAGTTATGTTGGTGTGGGTTTACTGTAGAGGATAAAAAATTGATTGACTTGATGGGAAAAGCTGCAGTGGGCTGATGGATGAAGACAGAAAGGCTGTATGAGGATTCAGATTTTATGGATGGTTCAGCCAGCTGGCATTCCCAGCTCCGCCACTTTTTTTTTACATATTAATCTCTGATGCACGTCACATGTTTTTAATACTGCACACCTGGAAAACAAAAAACAACACAAACCCACGAGCGCTCCCAACTGCAATGTAACGACCTATAGATTGCATCATTTTTAAAGATTAGCAGCAATTATATGTGAAGACTGTAAAACATAGCACTCTCCACTCTCAAGGCCAAATATAGCAAAGCAATCACTTCATGTAACAAGCTCTGAACACCTTTCAGGGAGAATGAGGAGTGCTCACTGGAGGAACTCGAAGATATCTGGAGTCAGCAGGTGCATGCTCATATTTGACGAGTGTGGTCTCTTTTTTTTATTAGGAGGAATATTTTCTGGTTTGGGAGCTTTCATGACATGAAAGGACGGGGCTCACACAGCTTTCTAGATGTGGAGAGAGAGCTAATCAATGCGGAAGTGCTGAGTGGCAGAATAGATGGGCCCCCGTGCCTGCCTCTAATTGATACACACTGCCAATTTGGACCCTGTGTAATTCTGCTGATGTCTGCAGGATAAATGCAGTGCCGAAGGTTTTTTTATTATTATTATTATATCTAAGCTGTGCATTTATGGACTTTGCTTTACCAACTGTACTGCGGTTGGTCTTTTTGTACTTGACCTGGTTCAAAAGTGCTGATAGTGTAATCCTGAAAAACTTCAACAAAGCATCTTAATGACTAAAAGAAAAAAAAAGCAGTGAATACGTTTATTATTATACTTGTATTTATTAAAATGGATTGGGGTTTGGGGTTTTGTAGAATTGTGTTCAGTATGCATTCCAAACAGTGCTAAGATTACCTATGACATGACTGAAGAGGTTTAATTTTCACCATTTGGAGCCATTCAGTGGCTCTACTATAATTGTATGAGAATAGAAATGTGTATAAGTATACTTCATGTCCAGTGAAAAGGAAACCTCTCTAATGTACTTATACTGCTCTTAAACTTCCTCAGTCTGCCTCTGAAAGTGAGGCAATGCAGAGCACTGCTGAATATCAATGAGCGACGGCTTCCTCTTGCTGGGAGGAACACATGCGTTTATCACGAAGACTCACAATCTGATCCTCATTCTAACTTCCCAGTATTTCTCGCCGGGATTTACCTTCATTGTGAGAGGGAAAGGGCCTTTTAATGAGGCCTCTGGGTGGAAACCATCTCAGCAGCACTTTTTGAAGTTAAAAAGCAATATACTAAAGCTAAAACCAATGTTGGCACTAATGCTGAAATTCATGAATATCAAAGTGGCTCTCAGAGGACTGAAGCTTCAGATGGTAGTAGTGCAAATATGTTGCGAAGATAAGACGACTTCCACCGGAATTTTACAATTTTTACATTTCACCATTATCGGGAGTTGACCTAAAACTCTCTCAACAAGCACTCCTGAGCTGCAGTGATGGGAAACTGTCCACATATAGAACAGTAGCTACTATGTGCAGAGTGTTTGCCATTAGCTTTGCCTTAGGATGTGATATTCTCACTGCTTAAATCAAGAGAGGGTGTCTGAGCCAATAAAATTGTTGTGTAATATGTTGACATTTGATATCCCAAGGGAATAATGACTTTGGTGACCTTTGACCTGTTAACTGAGCAATCAATATCACTCCTTGACATTTATTAAGTACCAGACAGGAAATTCAAGCTATGTCTGATTTTTTATTCAGCTTCAATTTGGATATTTACTGATATTAAGAAGAGCATTACCACTTTTGCATAGCTCTAATAATCAGCTGGTGAATAATAAGCAAACTAAACTTTGCTTATTGCTGTGACCACTGAACACTTAGATTTGATGATGCTGTATTATTCTTTGCTAAGCAGCAGCAGGGATTAGACAGGAAGGGTTTGCTATTTTCACTAACACGTCACTATTGTGGGCATGAGCAGCTAACAACACGACAGCTTTTTCTTTTTTTTCTTTTTTTATTATTATAACAGGTTTAGTTGAACTTCCTGTAATTTCATAACACAGTCAGTAACACGGTTCACTAGCCTTTCCTTATAACAAGATATTAACATTAACATCAAACGCTCATCATGGTGTTTGTTATTACACAGGAAGCCATGCCCAGGAAAACGTGTCTTGTTTCGAGAAGATGCCGGCACATGTTAACTTATCATCCCCTTCCCTTTTCCTGCCAGAAGCACGAGCTGTCCACATCTCAAAATATTCATTAACTTCAGCAAGTGAGTCACGGCAGAGTTGCAAGAGAAAAAAGGGAGCCTTATCCTGTTGTCTAATTACATACAAATCTGAGCAATTTTTTAAACAAGAATCAGCTGAACTTCATAGGATTCATCCCAGTCTGCATAAAGTCTCAAACAAATTACTGTCTCTCAGTGGAAATTTCTGCAGTTTGCACATTTAAAAAAACAAGTTTTCACTAAAGAAGACTGACACTCAGTGGGGAAAATAGAAGTGTCTGTCTAAATCGAAGCATGCAGACTGAGAGGTTGCGTTGCCTATTTTAGAATTCTTTACTTAGTATATAGTTTGTATAGTATAGTTTGAAAGGTGTAAACTCTGCAAACGGAAGCCGCCACACCAGACTGAGGCAGTGCTTTCTATGAATTAGAGATGTGTCTAAATAATTCAGGCGGTGACACAGGGGACTGACGGTAAATGCTTCCACGCGGAAGACTCAGAGAACCAACAAAGGAACCTTCCCCTGAGCCCATGCAAAATGCATTACACTGGCCTGTGCACGTGGACAAGAGCAAATAATCCCACATGAGGACCTGATGCAAATATTCAGGCTATCCAAAGTGGAAAGTTGAGCCTTAATTTCCATATGTAAAGAATGTAGGTTTGTCTTAAGGAAATTGTAAAGACAAGGTACTTGAAGTCAGTGGTAGCAGGTATTATTGTAAACCCATCAAAGAAATGCATTGTGTTATTGCTCTGTTGTCAGTTATACCGAGAATCCGTCCATCCTGCGGCAGGGCGAACATCTGCTATCTGTGCTGTACATGTGCTGCACAATTACACTTATGTTAGATCACGTTAGAACCAGAACGAAAAAGCAGAAGTACTAAAATAATTGTATGTTTCTGGGACAAGATCAAAAGAGTAGACAGAGACAAGACTTTGGATCTGTTTTTGTCTACGTGTCCCAGTTTCAACTAATGTGATTTATTCTGCCCTCAGCATCGCAAGCATATTAACATATATTACCAAGAGGCTCACAAAACAAGTATCCTGAGGAGGAAAACACTTAAGTACCCTGAGTTGTGACTCAAATGGTTTAACTTTAAGGCAGCCAGGCTTAACCCTGGTTTAGATAAAGACGTTATCTAATCATGTTCAGATTTTCTCCACAGAACTTCCCTGTCCGCAGGCAGCCATAGATCTGCCCACCTGCTCGTGCTCTGCAGTGTTACTATATTCAATTCAATTACAATTCAATTTTTTTTATGTAGCACCAAATCACAACAGCAGTCACTTTAAGGGGCTTTATATTGTAAGGTAAAGGTAACGACCACCTTTGAGCTAATGAGGAAGAAATCTCCAGCAAAACCAGACTCAGAAAGACACAGCCAGGACAGGACAAAATGTGTATAAACACAAATAAAGAGTGAAGAAGAAACACTCACAGTGTAACTAACAGAGGATTCAGGGTCATCAGATTCAGCCCTAACTATTATGCATTGCTTTATGCAACATGAAAAGGGTTTATTGATCATGTAAAGGGATGCCAGGCAGAGAGGTGGCTCTAGACCATCTTAAAGTGAGGAGAGCCTCCGTGTGGTTTGAGAGAAACGAGAAACACTTTGTCTCTGAGTTCTCCGGCACGAAACTGAGGCTGCGTTGTCATCTGATCCACGTCGTCACTGGAAAGCTCGCCCTCCTTTAACAGGCACCCTTAATTCCAACGTGCCACATCGCCTCGTGTAGGCGACGAGACATCTGTTGCCATGGTTTCCCCTTAGTGAACGCCAAGCAAATCAATATGGAGCCTATGACATAATTGGATTGCATCCCACCGTGCAGGAGGGAAGATATGAAGGATGTTGTTGTTGGTAGAGTCCTCGCTGTATTAAAACGAAGCCGTCTTCAGAGCATGGAATAAATTCGCTATGGAAGTAATAGTAATGCTTTTCCATGATGTAACTCTTTAACCATCACATGTCCTGTGGTAATACAGACTGCATATCTTTTGTTTTTTCCAATGCCTGCTGCATGTTAATTTCTATATCGAAACCATCATCGTTAATCATTTCCTTATATGTGAGCAATCAAACTATGTACTGTATTTTCGATTACATAGTTACTGAGTGACTGGGTGAATCTGTCACAAGACACGCAGACGTTGGATTGTGACATAATTGTTTTGGTGCACTGACTCACTGTTACTGTTGCTTGCCTCACTGTACAACTTTGTTATGTGCAAGGACATCATCTAAACGCCTCGTATCTTAATGTAGCCACATGGCGACCACGTATGCTTAAAGAGACCGAGGTGTGTAATTATGGTCGTGCTTACTAGTCACGTCCCCTCTCTGCAAAATCATTCGATCTCTTAGTGCAGAAGACCACACAGCTGGCACCTCAGTCATTTTGATGACATGCGAGGGTTTCTGTACCAGAAAGAACAGCCGTGAAACACAGCTACTTTCCTACCACCCACTCCCCTATGAGGTTCTTGTCGTTTCTATTACAAGCACCCTTTTTGAGCGGCTCGGTGCCTCTCCCCTTACTTGCTCCCCTCTCCTCCTCTTTGGCCACCCCCGGCACAGCGTGCTTCTGAGTGAGTGTCTGTGTGAGCCAGCCCCGTCCTACCTCACAGTCAAACAGCAGGTGCAGCTGCCCGTCGATCCACTCCTCGATATCCAGCCTCTTCTGCAGGTCCTTGCGGTTGTATTTGACTGTCAGCTTGCCAAGTTTGCGGTGCGCCGGCTCCTCTGCTTTGTCTGTTGCCTGGAACATCACCCTGGACTGGGTGCTAGGGTCTGATGCCATGGCTGCCACGGCCTCAGGAAATCCGTGGAAACGCACCGAGCTGGAACACAGACAGACCTACAGGCACGCTGGACTTGCAGGCTCTGAATCCCCAGCTCTGTCTCTGCTTTTCTTTTAGTGATACGCTGCTCCCACACGTATCTCCTGTGTTTCCTGTTATCTTTGTGGAGTGCTCGTGCTCTCCCTTCTCCTTAGCACTGGCTCTGGTTCCCTGCTTGTCCTCACCCCCGACCCCCCTTCTCTCTCTCTCTCTCTCTGTCCCTCTCTAAAGCTCACTGTCTTGCTCTCCTTCTCTCCTCCTCTTGCAACACCCACTGGCTGCACTATCAGTAGAATGGTAATGAGATATGGCTCCGAGCTTGCCTCTGCATGTGTGTATGTGCACACACTTTACAGGGTGTGTGTTTGCGTTTTGCTCTCTTTGTCTGTCTTATATCAGGAAGGGGTGGGTGGGGAAAGGTGGTTGGGGGGAGGCAGTGGGCATAGGTCAATTACAGCAATAAAAAGAGGAGAATGGGTGAAAGGGCAACTGCCTTCAATCAAGTTAGGATAATAACTCTGGGTGAAAATATCCCAGCATATCCTTTTGCACTTTTGATCTTTCCCTTCTGATCATTGCACGTCTTGCCAATCCTGTCATTACTGGCACACCACTCGTGTTCTTTTTTATTGTTTCCCCCCTCAGTAAAAGTACCTTAAGTATTTATAAGTTGACAGACTCAAATGGGTTTGCCATCCTTGATGCTTCTTAAGTTCACAAACACTTCTAACTATAGCTGGGTCCCCCCAACCTGACAGGTGATCCAGGGTTCCTCTAGTATGGTAGCTGCTTAGTCCTTTATAATGGGTATTATCAGGTGTGCGTTTAATAAGCCTTGAAGTCCAACTGGCATCCTCAGTTACGCACAGGTAAATAATGGATGACGCAGCGGCAGCAGCAGTGTTTATGACTCTTTAGAAGTCAAACGACAAAAGTCTGAAAGCATCAGTGTTTCCAAAGTCAAACAGCAGCACTCCACCCCACAGGTCAAAAAAATTCATAGTAGTGGACACCTATGCCAGATTATTACAGCTGAGACAAGAGAGGCAACAGGCTGCAGAGTTTCCACAGATCGTATTACGATATGAATAATGGGGTTCAGCTTTTTTGGCTTTTGGCAGGGACTATCCATCAGGCATGCCTGCAAGTGTTCACCCACTGATGCACCGTCTGTTACAAACACTGAATTATTGAGTGCCTCGAGCAGCTCACCTTTCCAAGCAAACAAATTCATCCATCCCATCTTATGGCTACTTGGTTCTGCTCTATTGGGTTGTCTAAAAAAAAGGCTAGGCCTTCTCACCTCAGGCCTATCAGGGTGACTCATTGTAGGTGACAGAAAAAGAAAGCAGGGCCAATAAATATGGTCTGCATTTGTATAGCGCTTTTCTAGTCCATAGGACCCCAAAGCGCTTTACACTACATTCAGTCATCCACCCATTCACACACACATTCACACACTGGCGATAGCAGCTACATTGTAGCCACAGCCACCCTGGGGCGCACTGACAGAGGCGAGGCTGCCGGACACAGGCGCCGGGCCCTCTGACCACCACCAGTAGGCAAACACGGGGTCAGTATCTTGCCCAAGGATATTTGGCATGCAGCCAGGGTGCAGCCTGGGATTGAACCACCGACCTTCTGATTAGTGGCTGACCTGCTCTGCCACCTGAGCTACAGCCACCCAAATAAGCTTGACCTCAGCTCGTGTGACCCGTAGGGCTGAAGATGGGTCCTTTTAGGCAGCAGAGTTCACAGATAACCCCACTAACTTTGTTTTCTACAAGATAGTAATTTTCTGAGTGTTTTTGTCTTTCAACATTTCTAAACCAAATTATTTACATTGCATAATTTGATTATCAACTTCCTGTTGCTCCACACCTGGTTCATGCATTGCTTCCTGACTGGTCACATATTTTAATGAGTCACCAGCCTGAATCAGCTCAGTATTACTATGACAAAGAGAACTGGGGCTGCTGTGAATTTAAAAGATGGGTCCTTTTGTTTTGTTTTTTCATATTAGGGCTAGACGCATGTTTTGGTTTGTTTGTTTATTTTTTTACAGTAATTTTAGAAATAAACAATAAACTGCTCGCCCAAGCCAGCTTGTTCAGCATTTGGTGGGGCCATACTGCCATCTTCTGGATTAAAGCTCATGAACATTTTAGGTCCGTGACAGTATAAAAAAAATAGGGTAAGTAATTAGACACTGAAAGAGGAGCTTCACAGCCACAGAGACTGTTCAGCTTTTTCCATTTTGGAAGAATTCCTAATTTGCATCTATGGTAAAGACATCAGTTTCAAAAAAAAAAAAAAAAAGGCTTGGAAATTGTGGTCAGCAGCTCACGTTTGATGTGCATTAGTGCAATATGTGAGGAGAAACAGAAGAGCAATCCTCCCCCTAGGTTGTCAGCAAAAACCTTTCAGTGACATTTACATAAAGGGAGATATTGTGTTGCAGTGCACAAACCCTATTACAATGATAAATGCACGTCTGTGGTACAAAAGCCACAGGCACTAGTCTAGAGATGCAGTGGGAAACGATATTAACCGATGAATCATTCCTCTCCATATTCTCACAACTGAGTGATTCATGTGTGGTGTAGGTAGGGCATGCTATCATCGTGTTATTTTGCGGGGAGAGGTGTTACTTCTCTCCTCAGAGTGCATGGTCACTTCACTTTACAAAGTTCTCCCGATCACTTAAATCATGCGATTAAACGTTTCTATCCTGATGGCAGTGGTTTCTTCAGAGGTGGCAGTTCCCCCCATCAGGCAGAGGAGGTCACTAAATGGTTTTCATGAGTGTGAAAATGACACTCAAATGCTGTGACAGCTGCTATGCTCACCAGATCTCAACACAACGAGGTCTCCACAACTTTTCATAACTATCAAGAAAAAAAAAATTAGGGTGATCTATCTATCTATCTATCTATCTATCTATCTATCTATCTATATGTATATCTATAGATAGATAGATAGATAGATAGATAGCGTTAATCCCCTCAATGCAGATCGAGAGACTTCAGTGCGCATGCACGTTAAAACTGGTGGCACGCAGAGTTCTCAAGATCTTGTTGTTGGTTTTCGCTTTACATTTCTGATTACTATGAAAGAAGATTTAATAGTATTTTTTCTATATTCATTCATTTTAATATGTGTATTTTCTCTTGTTGCCAACGACTGGTTTATCTGACGGATTTTTAGATTTATCTCATTTACTAATTCATTTTTAAAAATAAAACAGCCGTTTGTATAGCGTTAAAATAAATACGTGTGTTTTGTTTAGTTGTTTTATTGCTGACTGATATTATTTTATTAGATATTATCTACTAATGGAACTTGAAATCAACCCTAAAGGTTGAGGACTGAATGATTGACTGGAGTGTCGCCCGGGTGTTTACAGTGCTGCTTTACACTCACACGCTCGGTCCTCTGTCCCTGTTTTGTTAGGAGAGAGAAGGGAGTGGCGCGGCTCAAGAGTGGAATTTCACTTCCTGTATCTCAGGTGAGTCACCTGGGCTATGTCGTTGACTCCGTGGTTTTTGCCGACATCAAACAGGTTAATCTCTTCTGAGTTTCAGTCTCGTAAAGCGTCAGATCAGTGTGGTAGCACTCAGATACGTCTTGTGGAATATCAGGAAGTTGTTAGTTTAATCAGAGTCGACTGCCGAGGAGGAGAAGTGTTGTTTAGCTTTGAGGCCTAAACTGGTCTCTCTTTTTAGGTTGTTTTTTGTTATAAGTTTTCCCAACTGTGGCTGTTTTTATATTTAAATATTGAACCGATTTCACTTTCACTTCTGGATTTTATTTGCGTCAATTTGCCATTGTGGGACTCTTTAAAATAATGTATTCATTAATTAAAGGACGATCGGGTGCGTGTGCGCTGCTGCTCTTGTTACTTGTTGTAACCACCGCTGGTCAGCAGGTTGGTGAGGAATGCTTGGCCCGATTCGAGAAAGGTCGGGATGACTTTGTGCTCGATGCCGACGGATCTGTGAAAGACGGAGCGACGTTTATTTCGTCGCCGAAACTGTATCGACACAAGGACTGCGTGCAAGCCTGCTGCAAAGATTCCAGGTGCAATGTCGCCTTCATGGAGGAGGGAGAGGAGGGAGGCACGATCAGCTCCTGCTTTCTCTTTGATTGCCTGTACAAACAGAAATACGTTTGCCACTTTGTTGGGAAGAAAGGATACGACAGTTATATCCACAAGAACATTTTTAGCAGGTATCATGTTAATCACCCCGACCCAGGTAAGGCCAAAACTCACAAAAGAATATTTGTCATAGTGTTGTTAGTTATGCCTTTGTGAATATCTGACATGCATACGGACTATAACTGTGGGAACATCCAGTAGTGACATTTCTTTTTTCTAAGGAACCCAACTTCACAACAGACATTATGAGAGGGTGTCCTGTTTAAATGCTTAAAGGTCATGAATTTGCCAAATTTGTTAGCACACTCCGATAATTAAATCCACTAGTTTTGATTCACCCTTTTTTTGTTTTGTTTAATGATAACAAGCATATCTTGTTCTTCATATCTATGGCAGTAATCTTCAGTTTTGCGTGTTCCTACATGCCTGGAAGGGTTAGCATGTTCATCTCTCTTCAGCTTGTTTAGTTGCTTGTACTGTTTTTGTTTTGTTGCTTATTTCTTTTACATTTTCTGTTAAAACTGGTCAAAATGTGATTCCCACCAATCTCACGGTTTCGCTCTAGATACTGATGACCGTCGTCCAGTGGCCGATGGAGGTCCGGGCCAGGTGATCCAGCCTCATGAAAGCCTGGTACTGAATGGTATGAAAAGCAGAGATGACAAAGGGATTGTGTCCTACAAGTGGAAAATGCTCACCGAATATCTATATGCTGTCTATGAGGTGAGGAGAGTGACAAACCTGAGTTTACCACCATTATTTTAAGACGATGGCATTTATTTATAGGAATATCTGCTATAACTGTATTGATTCCACCTGCTGTTTCACTAAAAAAAACGTGAGACACTGTCTTTATATGCCCTACAGGACATCCAATTTAAAGACCAAATGGTTGTTTCCAACCTGACATCTGGGAAATACAGGTTCCAGCTGACTGTTACGGATACTATCGGCCAGTCGGATTCAACCGAAGTTAAGGTCCTCGTCCTCACTCCTGAGCAGTCTGAGCGTGAGTATCTAGTCTGAAAAAAGATGCTGTTTGAACCTTCAGCATGATTTGAACATACTGGGATTTAAATTATGTGGTGGCTGTGGCTCACGAGGTGGAGCAAGGAATCTACTATTTGAAGGATTGGTGGTTCTATCCCTGACTTCTCCAGTCTGTATGCCAAAGTATCCTCTGGCACGATCACAGTTGGAAGGTTAGATAGAAGGGTTAGGTGTAGAACAAAGGTGCTTATTTCTGTTATTGAGGCTGCTGTATAAAGCACTTTGAATGCTGAAGCAGAAAAGTGATATCTAAGAGTCAGTCCATGTATCTGTTTTTAAGTTTTAAATGGAGAGAGAACCTTACCCTGTAGATCAGAGTCTTCATGACATAAATACCGCGCTGCCAGTCCGAAGCTGGAAATTACATCTCAGCTTGGAGTTGGCCGATATGTTTCATTACTTGATAGACTGGCAGGAGCTATGGTTCAGTTTCAGTTGTAATGAGTCATGTTTTCCTCCGTATCGTATTTGTTGACATTTTCTTTAATGGGGTCAAGACGTCCTAATTCAGATATTTCCCAAAAAAAAATAATTTTGTAAATATATGGATTATTTATTTTAATTAATTAATTTTCTGTTGCATCACCCTGACCCTGGAATATTAAACATTTCCAAGCAGCTTGTTTTCAGTTGCTCCTTGAAGTCCTTCCATGTTGGCAGACATGTCACAACATGCTAGAATCATTCCTGTGGACAGAGTGACATGACAACATGAACACAGAGGGATAAAAGCTTGTGTTTTAAAGGGATTACACCCAATTCTAAGACTCTGGGGAAGGAGGGCTGGTAGCAGGAAAATGAACTTTGGAGCACAAGCGACTGGTTTAATATTCTCCTTTTGTGTGAGGGGAAGTAATATCCAGGTCGCTTCTGTTGTAAAATACCACAGTAAGGCGACATGACGCTCTCTGGAGAAAACGGAAGTGAGCAATCTCAATCGGTGTGGTTTTTACTGTTCCCCCGATACCATCACTCCTCCCCCAACTCAGAAGAACCTGTCAGTCTGGTTTCTGCTTAGGCGGCACAAACAAAAAGTCAATGTCCGTAAATGTTAGTGTCCGTACTAATTAAGTCATTTAAAATCTGTTGTTTTTAAAAAATACGTGTGCGCTATAGGGGGTTGTCTTTTGCTTAGTTCTGCATCTGCTGGTTGATTATATAGTGAAGGACAGGAAAAGATTTCTAACCATGCAGTTGGTTCAGTCACCCATTAACAGGTTTAGTGCTGAATAATGTTCAGGAATGCTTTCTGTGGAATATGTGTGATTGTTGCTGAGACTTGCCTTTGTGTCAGTGCCGCGACTCTTGCATGACAATTCTTGCCATTCATGAATGAAGAAATAATACGAGAACTTACCAATTAAAGTACAGCTTATACTTCCAAATGCTACGTTTCCTTTTCCAGTGTAAAAAGAATCTATGATCTTTTGTGTCATTAACCACATTCGCATGATCTGTAGCTCTTTTGTTCTCCACTTCTTTTTTCTGCTCCCTCTTTCTGTCTGGACGGCAGTTTCATAAGTAATTATCTGTCTGCTCTCAAGACAACAAGGAAGCACACGTCAAAGAAAATCTCATCAAATAAAGTATCGCGTATGAGACAGGACAGCTGTCTCATACGATTGATCAGATTGGATTATGGACTTAAAGCAAGTGTCATATTGTTAATTTGCTTCAGAAAGTCATCTGATTAACATTTAAAGCATTGACTAATAGTGAATCATTTTATATTTGTTAATGGGGATCTGTTTTATGATTTCTTTTCAGCTACTTTTCAAGTTGGACTCTTTTAGAGTCATTTTGATGAATTAAATTCCCATATTATCCTTATTTATCTTAACACAGGGCCTTGGCGCAGTATCTTGATTCATCCACTGTTTGACTTATCAGCACGAGTGCTTGGTCTTAAAGGGAAAGGTGCTAATTGCCCTTTAAGCCAACTTTCTTTAATTGGCTGCCCCTGACACAGATAATATTTGAACAGCAGGTGTGTGAGGTTTCTGTCCTCATACCCAGAGCCGAGTGATAAAACATACATGAGGGAAGAGTGAGCGTTTAGAACAACCTGAATCCTTTTGCCTCACAGGGGTTTCTTGCACACACGCTGAGCTCATAGCTTGAAACTCTGGCCGTGTTTAATAGGATCTTAGCAGCATTTATATTACTGAAAATAAGAAAAAGCACAATTTGTTTCCTCTTAAAGTCACAAAGAAATGGCCTTTTGATAAGCTGTTGACAGGTTTCATATTTTCAAGTGAACACATACAGGCTGTGAAGTTACTAGTGAAATTTAATGTGTGGTGGAGTAAGTTAGCTGTGATTCAAAGGTAATCCTTTTTATTTTGTGTCCCATCAGACCACTGTATGGCTCCGAAGAAGGCTGGACCGTGTCGTGGCTCTTTCCCTCGGTGGCATTACAATGGCGCCGAAGAAAAGTGTGAGGAGTTCTTATTTGGGGGCTGTAGGGAGAATCTCAACAACTATCTCACTGAGGGCGAGTGCGTTAAGGCCTGCCACGGTTCAGGTACCTGTGATCAATGCTTTTATTCTTCTGTTTGTTGTTTTTCATTTAAATGACTGACAGATCATTAATATGTGTGTGTGTCAATTCACTGAAGGGGTTTACATTACAGATTATAAGAGGATATATATATCTAGAGAACAAACTGTAACTGCTTGCCCTGGTATACATCTTTTACATTTTCAAGCCCTGTTTTAGAGCATTCCCTTCAATTTAAAACAAGTGTTTTTGCCACTAAGTGTCAGGTTCAGGTCTAAGCTTTCGTTTGAGTAGTTACATCAGCACAGACAGAACTGTGTCAGAGATCCAGCCCTTTGAGCACACAGAGCCCAGAGCTGCGAGACTTTGGCTTTGTTTCATTCTCCAAATAGCTCCTGCTGTGAGAGGTAATCACGTGAGCCTGCAAGTGAAGATGAACTATTATTATTATTTTTTAAATAAAGGAAAAATCAAGTAGAGACTTCAAAGCCAATATCAAGGCTTGTTCCAAAAAATGCCGGTGAACACGATTCTAATGGATAAGTGCAAAGTCCTTTGTATGGTAAAGAAAATGTACACTTATCTCTGCACAACAAATCAAGACTGCTCTCCAGAGTAGGTGTAAATGTCTCCTCAGGTGCATTAACAGAAAACATAGAAGTAGTAGTAATACAATACAAAATATATTAATTGATTATTTAAAAACATTTGAAAAATTGAAAACATCCCCCCAGGTGTTATACTGTCTGATCGCCCAAGGGACAAAATACCTCCTCAGCCTCTCTGCTGAGTGATTCTGAGATAGCAGACTATTGCTGAAAGTTGTCGTCTTTCTGCCTGAAGAGGTGAAATGTCACCGTCAGGACACGTCAGTGACCTGATCTAAAAGCTCGGTGTAATTCTCCAAGATTCTCAGATACAGTTGTTTCGGTCTGGATTTAAATCTACTCAAATTTAAGATGGGAATTAACTGTACCGGTACTTTTGTTTCAATTCCACTGTAATAATTGTTTTTAAGATTTTACTTCTTTTTTTATGGCTTCACTGATAGTTTGTAATTAAAAGAAATGAACATTTCTTCTCCTTAAGATTATCAAACCCCTTTTTATTTGAGGAAAATCTCAATACTAACGACTTTCTGTAGCTTACTCCCTGGTAAAAAAAAAAAAAAATTAACAAATCATTTTCATTTAATCATAATCTCCTTTTGTTTTATTTCTTTCAGTAAAAGGATCTGGTAGAGGTTTACCAATTCATAAAAATCAAGGTAGGTAAATGATGGTCGCGGAACAAAAGACTAGAAGCCTCATGTGCACAACTGGAAATGCATGTCTACTTTTTCTACTCTGTATGTTTTTCTTGGTCACCTCAGTGTTGCTCTCACAGTCTCTGATGCCAAGCTGAATGGTTCCTAATGAGGGACTGGCTAACATGTAAAAGTGATTTATTTACTTTTACAAATGTATTTGTACTGACACATAGTTTCATATTTACACAATTGCGAAACACCATCAGAATTCCCTTGAAGCTGTGTTTCTGGCCATTTGACAAAAACCTGTTCTCACAACCAAAACTATGTAAATTTATGGCCTGACTGCTAAGTTCACCACAACTCTAGGTGATAGTTGTCTGATGGTTCATTAGCTATTGGATATAATTAGTTATCTAGGGCAAATATCTATCTAGGCCATAGAGCAGTACAAATGACACTTTCCCTTATGTTTGTGTGTCACAGCAGAAAAATGTGGTGCTCCGTGTAATGCGACACAATTCACCTGTGCTAATGGTTGCTGTTTGGATCCTGCACTCGAGTGTGACTCAACACCACAGTGTACCGACGGCTCTGATGAGCAGAACTGCGACGAGTGTGAGCAATAACTAACGGGCTTGTGGGATGACAAATGGGGCTTTGATAGCACTCTGATAAAATGTTTCTTGAAAGTCATGCTAACTGGTGTTGTCTCCTGTGTGGTCGTCAGTGAAAGACAACTTTGAGATTCTGCGGCAGATTCCAGTCAATGAAAAAAAAGGTGATTGGAGCTTCTAAGCCATTCTCTAGAGTTTATTTGTTATATAATTAGCTATTTCTAAATGTAGCACAGGCTGGTATTATCTATGTAACCTTAGTGGTGGTTTATTGAAATTCACAGCACACTGCACAGAAACTCCCGACCCAGGAGACTGCAGGGACAGTATGACTAAGTGGTACTACCAACCCATCGAACGGAAGTGTTTGCGCTTCAACTACGGTGGCTGCGGAGGAAATGATAACAAGTTTGAGAATGAGGAGGCCTGTCAAGACTATTGTCGTGGTGTCACAGGTAGGGTTTTATTTTTATATATTTATAGTACACATAATCCCAGACTTCATATATGATAGTACAATTTCCTATTCATGCCATTTTTATGCTACATGAGTTTAAATGGTTCTTTGTTTTCCTCGGGTTTAGTTTGGGCGCCTTTGTTAGAGGTGACATTTCACACCTGTTCTGATGGAGCAGTTCACAGCTCTCACAATGAACTGTAAACAAGGTGAACTGTAAATGAATTATTTTCCAGTAGGTTTAACTTCTTTATCAAATAAATTCTACCACGAACCCACAAAAGATAGAAGCCAGCTCCACAGTGGACCTCGCGTTATCTTTTATCTCACCGTTGAGCCTTTGTGGACCATAAAAAGCCCTGATAAACTTCCTGTATATTATTGCCCAGCTGCTGCCAACAACTAGCTAGTGATCATTTGGTGAGGAAAAAGGCCAACTAAATATTGTTTCAGGTGAAAACAACTAAATGCCAACTCTGCTACATGATTGTTGGGTCTGTAAATATGGAACTGTTTGTATAATGACAAACTGGCGTTACCATATGGTCCAAAAAATGTTTATGCATTTATTGCTGGAGGTGATGATAACCGATACTGAAACCTTGGGCCATGCATTATTGCACATAATTTGAATACGGCTGAATGAGACTCATGAACCGTATGAATTATAGCCGAGTCGCACGGTGACACACAAATATTAGCTCGTTGCCAGATTAGTAAAAAGATGCTAACATACAGAGAAGCAGTAAAATGTAATTCATTCTGTCTTTACTGTCAAAGTGTTTGGCCAAAGGAAATCTGCAAGTTAATATTAAGTTATTTCCATCATTGCTTCATGCTAAAGAGTAACAGGTTGCTTGGTTTTACTGTTTAGATCAGTGGTGTCAAGCATATGGTCCGGGGGCCAAAATTGGCCCTGTAACGACACCCCTGAGGTTTTTTTGTTTGTTTGTTTGTTTTTACAGCGATTTCACAGTAAAATAAAAATGACATTTTATGTGAACAAGTTTACAGAAAACTATATATTTTTTAATTACAAGACAATCAGGGCAATAAAATATCAGAACTTTACCTGTAATTTCACATAGTTTCGCTGGTCAGGTCTAGCCCACTGAGATCAAAGTGGGCTGTATGTGGCCCACGATTGAAAATGACTGACATCCCTGGTTTAAATGAATGAATTATTGATTGAAATTGATAGTTATTTGTTAGTGTTTATGTGGCATTTGGGGTATTATAAATAGGTTTGGATCTATATGCTCCACACTTCAGAACTCCTTTACTAACTTGTGTTACAATTTCAAGAGTTTACCAACAATTTCCAACTTCAGCAGTGGTTTTACACCTGCTCTTTCCTCTAAAAGATTGTTTTTAATATTAAAGGAACTTTTTTTATTTTTTTTAATGACATACTGCTTTTTGTTTTTCAGAAAATGATGTATATTTAAGAGAAAGACAAGAGAGCGAAACCAGTGAGAGTGACAGCCAAACAGGTATATTACCCTTTATTTTTATCTATGCCTGTACCAAAGGAAAATCATTTCTTGCCCGTTGAGGTTTAAATACCCATCCTACCACTTTTACATCAAGAGCATTACTCTTCACCCTCTTTTCAAGCTCAGATCTTATATGACCAAAAATGTAATGCTGTAATTGTAATGCTTATTTTAATTCATTTTAACAGCCATTTTAGCGTTAGCTATCGTGTTGGGTGTGGCTATTGTCATCGTTCTAGCCATCCTGGTGTACCACTTCCTAAAGGGAAGGAAGTCCCAGCACCGTCGTCTGCCTGCCAGTAATGCAACGTACACCACGATGGAGCCGAGCAGAGACGCTCTGGTCTACAATAGCACCACCAAACCCATCTGATCGATGAGAAAAGAAAGGCTGGTGTTTGGTTGAGGTTGCGAGTTGGAGATGTATGTTTTTAAAGGTAATGTACAGCCAAGGATGTCTTGGACGTCATCAGTGATGAAATGTGAGGTTTCATTTGATTTTTTTTTTTTTTTTGAGTTGTTGGATAGCAGTTTGTGCAGGCTGATAGGAAAGTACTTTTAATTCTTTGAAAGTAGATTTCCACAGGACATGATCAATTTTAACCATACCCACCCCCCCAAAAAAGGTTCTCTACATGTTCATCGTTGCATTAAATTATGTTATAGCTCCGTGTGGACAGTTAAATTATTAAAGTCTACATTCTTATCAGGCCCAAACTGGCCTCTTTCTACAAAGTAATGTTCTTGATTTTGTTTTGTTTTTTTACAACTGAAATCTGGGAAATTTGGCGGTTATGTAATGTCAGTGATGTTTTAACGCCACTGACATTACATAACTGCCACTGCGGTTGCTTTAATGCCGCCTTCTTTACTCTGTCCAATTTTCTTTGTATTGTGTTTTACAAACTATTGTTACATACTCCCATGGATTTCATATGAATAGTTAATGCTATAAATATTCTTAGAATTTCAGAAGGTAACGCTTTACCCTGAAGTTTCTGGGTTGATCATTTTTAAATATTTGTTTTTAGAACAAGCATCATATATTATCAATTCCTTATTCACGCTTTAATAAATACACTTGCAGTTAATTATTCAGCATAAAATGTACATATTTGCTGGATCATGATGTTCTTCCTTAATAAAAATATTAACTCACTTTTATTTGAGAAATCTTTGTCATGCAAAACACATCGGCTGTCTCGCTTGAACACGTTTCAGTTTTCATTTAGTCAGCTCTTGCAACACTGTCTTGTGTAATGTGCCGCACGCTTTGATTTGGGGGTTTTTTGTTAGTGAAATTAGTATTTCAGACTTCTGACGCTGCTGCCTGTCTGTGCATGTGCAGCTGGGATGATTAATAAACAGAATCAGAATCAGAATACTTTATTGATCCCTGGGGGAAATTATTTTTTGTTACAGTGCTCCATTTTAAACCAACATTAAGACAAGACAGACAATACACTAACTAAGAATAGTACAATATATATACATACATACATACATACATAAGTCACTTATAAATAAATATTTGGAAAAGAAACATGTGTAGTTGTAGCAGCAAACAGTGTGTTAAGTGGATTTTTGATTTTTTTTTTTAATATACTTTATGATTGGATCTTTTATTGGTTTTTATAGATTTACCATGTTGCTTATCTGGGCTCTGCGTGTGTATCTTCAGGTATGTGTTTGTAGTAATACACACTAGCTTTCTAAGACACCCTTGGAGAGCATGACACACTTCCTGGTGACTGTGTGTGGAGTTATTTGTTAAATAAGTTTTTGTCTCACCTTCAGGTGGTTAAAAGTCACAGGTAATACAGTTTATAAACCTTATAAAAGTACCTGAGTTGTTGAAATCTGTACAGTAATATCACAATGTAGCCTAGACTGTAGACATTTTGAAGAGCATTAAATATGCTTTTGCTGTTTTGGGTTTAGGTGCAAATGTATTTTTGTTGTGTTTGGTTACTTGTCTGGTCTATACTTTGCACGACTTGGCTCACATTAGCAATGATTGAGGCTGAAATGAGTCAAACCACTTCGGCTAATGTCTGTTTAAGCAGTTTCAGAAAATGAACCACATCCTGTCAACTTCACTGGCATGATGCAACACTTTCTCCACACTTTAACAACATAAAGTGTGATATAATGGCACATGGGTTCAACATTTTACCAACGTCATTCCAAAATGGATTCTATTCATTTTTCACCTCTTCAATGCACAACACACCAAAATGGAAAGAAAAAAATGCTAGAAATTCTTGCTAATTTATTAAAAATAATAAACCAAAAATAAAACATGTAAATGAGTATTCACAGCACACAGATACGCTTGTAAAGTTCTGGATAGGAAGTCATATTAATGATTATTGTCATTTATTTACAAGATATAAAATTTTTAAGTCCTGATAACCTAATTTTGTGTTCAGATATAGGGTTAGCACATAAGGCTATGCAAAGTGGAGGTGGTTTATCTTTCTGCTGACCTCTGCTGGCTTCTAGGTGATCTGCTAGTTGAAAGAAGAAGTGCTGAAACCTGTGAGGTGAGAGCAATGAGATCTAAGTGATCATGTCAGTTTATTTCAAATAAAATGTTAAAATCTCTTACACCGGCAAATTTGTATTATACTGTTTTTAAACAACGCATCATAGGCAATTTATATACTGACTAGGGTGACCAGTTGTCTGTCTTTATGAAGGACTGCAGAGCATTTTTATAAAAATAAGGCTTTTATTGCCCAACAGGGAAACTTGTAACTCACCATAAAGTCACAGGCTCTGCAAATTTCTGTGAATAGGATCAAAACCATCACAAAGCAAATTAAGTGAGAATATTATTTTCAGTTTTGCACAGTACGGTACGTTGCTGTGCAAAGGTTTTGAACCACCCCTCATTTTGTGATATTTCCCTAGAGAAATGGGAAATGGATGCAGCAATTTGTTGAAATATCCATACATGGAACTATAGTAAGTAACTAAGGGAAAAACAGAGTTTGTACAATTCTAACACGTTTGAAAGTGAATATTTGGTATGCCCAACTGTATTATTCAACACAGCGTGAACTGCAACACCACTGGCTGAAATGGAGACTGGGTCAACTGAAGTGCTGGATGCATCTCTCAGGCACCATCAGTAGCACAGGAACAGAGCAGGAGGGAGCGAGAAAGAGAGCCAGGGGCAACAACAAGCGACAACATCGTCACATTACAGGGAGTGCAGAATTATTAGGCAAATGAGTATTTTGTCCACATCATCCTCTTCATGCATGTTGTCTTACTCCAAGCTGTATAGGCTCAAAAGCCTACTACCAATTAAGCATATTAGGTGATGTGCATCTCTGTAATGAGAAGGGGTGTGGTCTAATGACATCAACACCCTATATCAGGTGTGCATAATTATTAGGCAACGTCCTTTCCTTTGGCAAAATGGGTCAAAAGAAGGACTTGACCGGCTCAGAAAAGTCAAAAATAGTGAGATATCTTGCAGAGGGATGCAGCAGTCTCAAAATTGCAAAGCTTCTGAAGCGTGATCATCGAACAATCGAGCGTTTCATTCAAAATAGTCAACAGGGTCGCAAGAAGCGTGTGGAAAAACCAAGGCGCAAAATAACTGCCCATGAACTGAGAAAAGTCAAGCGTGCAGCTGCCAAGATGCCACTTGCTACCAGTTTGGCCATATTTCAGAGCTGCAACATCACTGGAGTGCCCAAAAGCACAAGGTGTGCAATACTCAGAGACATGGCCAAGGTAAGAAAGGCTGAAAGACGACCACCACTGAACAAGACACACAAGCTGAAACGTCAAGACTGGGCCAAGAAACATCTCAAGACTGGTTTTTCTAAGGTTTTATGGACTGATGAAATGAGAGTGAGTCTTGATGGGCCAGATGGATGGGCCCGTGGCTGGATTGGTAAAGGGCAGAGAGCTCCAGTCCGACTCAGACGCCAGCAAGGTGGAGGTGGAGTACTGGTTTGGGCTGGTATCATCAAAGATGAGCTTGTGGGGCCTTTTCGGGTTGAGGATGGAGTCAAGCTCAACTCCCAGTCCTACTGCCAGTTTCTGGAAGACACCTTCAAGCAGTGGTACAGGAAGAAGTCTGCATCCTTCAAGAACAACATGATTTTCATGCAGGACAATGCTCCATCACACGCGTCCAAGTACTCCACAGCGTGGCTGGCAAGAAAGGGTATAAAAGAAGAAGAACTAATGACATGGCCTCCTTGTTCACCTGATCTGAACCCCATTGAGAACCTGTGGTCCATCATCAAATGTGAGATTTACAAGGAGGGAAAACAGTACACCTCTCTGAACAGTGTCTGGGAGGCTGTGGTTGCTGCTGCACGCAATGTTGATGGTGAACAGATCAAAACACTGACAGAATCCATGGATGGCAGGCTTTTGAGTGTCCTTGCAAAGAAAGGTGGCTATATTGGTCGCTGATTTGTTTTTGAATGTCAGAAATGTATATTTGTGAATGTGGAGATGTTATATTGGTTTCACTGGTAAAAATAAGTAATTGAAATGGGTATATATTTGTTTTTTGTTAAGTTGCCTAATAATTATGCACAGTAATAGTCACCTGCACACACAGATATCCCCCTAAAATAGCTCAAACTAAAAACAAACTAAAAACTACTTCCAAAAACATTCAGCTTTGATATTAATGAGTTTTTTGGGTTCATTGAGAACATGGTTGTTGTTCAATAATAACATTATTCCTCAAAAATACAACTTGTCTAATAATTCTGCACTCCCTGTAGAAAGGTATAGCAAAGAAAATGAGTAACACCAAGAAAAGAAGCAAAATCTGGAACCATTTCCACCATCTCTTTTTAGTGAGCTGAGCCAAAAGAGCCGGTTTTCTAGAAAGAGCCAGAATCCCATCACTAGTGCTGTGTACGTTGCTGGATGCATCCAAAGAAAAACGTTGAAAGCCCATCAGAAAGCTTTAAAAAATAAGTGAAAGTCTGACTTCTTGGAACAAAATATAAAGAAAGGACTAATTTATGTGCCTGTCATTTGGCTAAAAATGTTTAAAATTCTACCATCTTTGGATGCATCCTTAATGAAACATGCTATAATTACCTGCTCTGTCTGAAATACTGAAATCACTTATTTGCAAGACTATTAACATGCCATTAAACGAGATAATTAAAACAATCTTCATCTTCCTTTTATAATCCTTGTGTGTGTGTGTGTGTGTGTGTGTGTGTGTGAGAGAGAGAGAGAGAGTGAGAGTGAGTGAATGGTAAATGACAAATGACACACATTCAGTTTTCACTGCCCCATAGGTAGCTTGTAGTTATCTGGTCACTGTTAGAAGCCGATGCAATGATTTATAACAAGCTCCCAGCAGATGGCGATATTGGCCTTTCTAATTTTTAACTTTAAAATCACCAATTCAACCAATTTCAGCCACGTTTTGTAGATGGGTGGGAGTATGTCAAGTTCATTAAGTTAATTAAGGTGTGTGGGACAGTAAAAGCTGACTTTTCCCATCGTGTTGACTCCTTCTGTAAAGTGGAAAGCATGCTGTCTCCAGCCTTCTGCGGTGATGGTGACATTATTTTCAGGAGGACAGGAGAGAGGGGGTCGCGCAAAGCAATAGCGCACATAAATTAGCACCCACCCAATACACTCACTGACACCATCTTTTGTGAAGTCCCCATTTCAGATGACCTGACCCTCGTAAAAGTTATTGGCGGGGGTGTCTTTCTCAAGCTTTTGCTTTGCATACATATTCCGTGGGTGGGAGTAAAGATGATTTTATATATTTATTTGTTTATTTATTGTTAAAGGACCCAACATTTTGTTTACAGAAACATATATACTATGTAGTCCAGATGTCTTTATGTGGGAACACATCTGACACCCACCAAGCATTACAGCATGTCAAAAACAGGCGTTCCTGTGCTGCGTTCGCGTCCTCCTCGTAAATATTACGTCTTCTGGGTATGTACACTTCATGCGCTCCTTGTTTCAGGGGCACCACCGTCGGGGGGCCCACCTGTGGTGGTGGTGGGTGTGTGTGGGTGGGGGTTGTCTGCCAAGACTGTCCTATGTTGATAATAATTTTAATAATTATAATTATTTTCAGTGATATCAACTTTAACTTTAATATTAGGAAATTAACTAGGCATATAATTATTTTTCTTT